ACTGGATAGAGGCATGGTCAATAGTTTGGCACTACCAGCAAGTGGTGGAATTTTTTAGGAGATGGTGCCTAGTGAGAGGTCTTCCAGTCACTGAGGGTGTGATTTTGAAAGGGATTGTGGGACCCAGGGAGCAGCTTTGCTCCACTGTATGCTCTCACTCTAGTGCACTGCCTAGTCATAGGCTCAAAAACAGCAAAGCCCCATCATTCATGGGCTGGGGCCTTCAAAGTTTCGAGCCAAAGTAAACCTGTTCTTTTATAAGTTGATTATCTCAGGCATTTGCTAAGATAACAGAAAGCTGACTAATCCATAAAGGAAAATACTTTTAGAATTTTTTTTAAAAACTCCATGTGTTTCTGTTTACTGAAAATCCCATTAAGAAAACGTTTCACAAAGTTTACACATACAAACCTAATTTTCACAACATAAGCAATCTATTTGTTTCTGAATTAACTCTATGTGTGAAAACACTGAATAAACATTATTGAGTATGCCAGGAGGAATGTACTAAACTTGAAAAGCTTTATTACAACAACCTGTAGAGTTCCTGTCATATATTTCTTACATATGTGGCCTTCTAAGATATTGGGACTATGTACAGGAAATTCATTATTTCAGTGCTTAAAATTCTTTCCCTGGATAAAGTGATCTGCATTCAATTGTGTGCTTATCTTGAAAGAAGCAGGTAACACCTTGTTTGAATGGACATCATGCGTCTGCCCTTAAATATTTTCTTTTTATGCACATAAACAATTAAAATTGGTTGAAACAAATTATAAAATTTTAGTTTTAAGTTCTAAGCTTTAAAATGTCAAAAACTACTCTGATTTCTTTTATGACGAATTTTCTGAGATACTTTTAAAAATATTTCAAATTAGTGTTATTTAAATTGTCATATTAGAAATGTTCAGGTATTTATTCTTTTATAACTAAAAAAGGAAATATAAGTACTGAAAATAAAAATCATACTTGAATGTTCTGTTGTAATATATACTATATAACAAAGAGCTATTTCTCCATCCTTCCTGAATACCATTTATATTTCATTTAAATATAAATTATATCCTATTGAAGTCAGCATTAATGTAATTAGTAAGACAATTCTTAACACACACATTTAGATTTCAATAGAAGAGGAACAAACAATATTTCAAATAAATTCACATTTCTTTTAGGTCAGGTGATATCATATGCTATATAAATGCAAAACTACAAAAGTAATTACTTTAAAGTATTTTGAAACAGAAATGTAAGCTGCCAAGTTTCCATTATAAAAAACTACTCCTGTATGTGACTTGAGACATAAGATTCTCCTATACTTATTTCCAGAACACTTAAACTCCCTCTTTTATGTAATAAACCAAAATTCATCATATCAAAGAAAGTCTATCAGACATCTAGGTCTGCTCTTTTGTCTCTGTTCCTGATACAAATATATTAGGTGGAAGCCTATCATTAGATGATGGGAGGAAGGAAAATAAAGTTCTATTAGAGATTTTTGTTGCTGCTGCTGTTGTTGCAAAGGCAATTCCTCCAAAAAGCAGAAAAGGGGAGGAAAGGAGATGAGTCCCCATATTAAGCTTCTAAGATTTAAGAATATTTTCATTTTAAGAGTCCCAATCCCCAAAAAACAAATGCCGAATGTTTTCTCTGATAAAAGGTGGTTGACTCATAGTGGGGTAGGGAGGGAGAGCATGGGAAGAATGGATGAATTGTAGATAGGGCAGACGGGTGGGAGGGAAAGGGAAGTAGGCAGGGGATTAGCAAGGATGGTGGAATGTGATGGACATCATTATACAAAGTACATGTATGAAGACTTGAATTAAGTGTCAACATACTTTATATACAGAGATATGAAAAATTGTGGTATATATGTGTATTAAGAATTGTAATGCAAAAAAACAAAGTACATTTATAAAGGCATAAATTGGCATGAACTTACTTTATATACAGAGATATGAAAAATTGTGCTTTATATGTGTAATAAGAATTGTAATGCATTCCACTGCTGTTGTGTATTTTAAAAAATAAAATAAATAAAAGATAAAAAAGAAAGAAGTTAGGGGAAATTGTGGCCTGAGTAAAGGTTGGCTTGGGTCTAATATTAAAAGACTATAAACTTTATTAGGGTAGAGGTTATTTATTTCATTCACCAAGAATAAAATTATATTGTTTTGTCTCTGTTTAAAAAAAATAGTACATTTTTTTTTTCGATTTTAGTAATGTTCAATTTTAGGAAGCAAATTATTTTGCTTGGGAAACCTATTTTCTGGATATGTAAATAGGCCAAGATTCTTAAGAGGAGATAAAAACCAAGCTACAAAGATGAATGCCACCTACATTGTGAGTTTTGCATAAGGATGCTAATTTCAAAGCCTAAAGAGGTTCTTMTTATCATATCTCCTGACTTTATTTACCTTAGAGTCAGGTACCAGAGCTCTAGCACAAATATAACTGCAAAGATGACATGATTAGAATTTGCTATTCCTTTTTGCTTTCTATGTTGATATTAATTGAACCTCTACAGTTCCAGAGTCATCATCCATGAACTTTTCCTCCATGGAAAATTTCAGTATGGTGATATACTTAAGAACTAAATACAGAGTAAAATCATAGCAATATAAGCAATCACCCAGGAACAAAAATTAACCAATTTAACACATATTACTAGATGACTAAGTTCATTATTCCAGACCCAATGCTTATAATATCTTCCTGGCACTTAAAGGCACTTGTAAAAGTAAGTACGGAAAATTTTCATCACTATAAGTTTTTCATAAAGTTGTAACACCAACATGAAAGAATTATTTTTCAGAAATTTAACATTTTATTTAGCACTGTCAGAAACTTTTCTTAAAGTTTTCATGAATATTCAAAATCATAAAAATTATTTTAGGCCAACTTTTTATTTTCCTTATAGATTATAATTTAGCAAAGGGCATGATAACATAAACTTCCTATTCCAAAAATCTAAGTACCAAATGTTGACTCTAAGAAGCAGTGAGTCAGATGACCTTTAAATGATACAGCTATATTTAAAGAATCACTACCAAATCCACAGGTTAAAATGCTTTTAAATGCCACTAAGAATGTTCAGAACCAACACAATGACTTATGAACAGACTTTAAGTTTATAAAACAATATTCAAAGATCAAACAGAATTTCATTTTTTTCAGAATAAAGACACTAGCCTTCTATAATTTTCACATAAACATACTGTCTCTGAACAAGGCYATATTACCATAGCCTAAAGATTTATTTGGATAATCCTTGGCTAGCTTTACTTAAAAATTAATAACACCTAGATATGAGAACAAATAATATATCATTTAGTGAATCAATACCTACTTTAAAAGAAAAGAGAAAAGTGGGGGAAGTAAGAAAACAGAAGATCAAGAAACATTTCTAAATGGCATTCAAGAAGCCAAAAAAAAAAAAAAATCAAAAAAATGAATACTTCTCAGATCTAAACACTGAAGTGTTAACATCAAAAAGAAACTGTGCAAATCAATAGATGAAAAAACTTTTATTACAATTAATGCTGTCTACTTACAGGCATATACACACACTCTTCTCACATTTAAATTCACACACATCTATACCAAATTCAATGTGGGAGAGCTACTGAAAAGCCAATCACCTTTGTGTATATAGTTTTGCAAAGAAATACAATTGATTTAAAACTTTAAATGAACAAAAATCATAATTATAACAAATCATAAATTTCTAAGTTGTCTTATGATTCAAACAAACTTGAGTCTGCATTCGGCTTTAAGTAGTCATATTTCCCTCATTTTTTCAGTGACGCATGTTTATCCATTAAATGTGGGTACACCTCTGATCTAATGCTCCCTGAAAGAGCCAGTCAGGTGAATGTCTCAACGTTTCTTTCAGCAGGGTGTTGCCAATGAAAAGTTGCCATGCTTAGAAATAACGCACCATTAAATTTTAAGCCATCTAATGTCTTAGGATGCCACGCGTATTATGACAATTTTTTTTTCCTTCTGCACTGATTTAATATAGCAAGAACAAGCAGGCTTTTGAATCAATGTTCTACTTAAAGTATTTGCTTGCTATGGGATTTATAGTCAACTGTAGTCTGGCTCCCTTACTATGTGATTCCTGGGCTCTAAGATTCTACARACTGACAGAAAAAACAGGAGATGTGAAAAATGCAACAATACTAAAAACAGATGTTGGTATAAAATTCCAGGGCCATTTATTTGTTCATTTCACTTTTTAATGTACAATTTCTATGCTTAAAACAAGGGACTTTTTTAAAAAAAACTATTAAAAGAAAACCAGAACCATGAAACATTTAGGGAGATTAAACTGAAATTTATGAACTGGAGACTTGAGAGGGCATGAGGTGGGAAGTCAAGAAAAGCTGAGAGAAGGGTAAGATGAAAGAAAAAAAAACAATGTTTTTCAGTAGCTCTACATCATTCTTTTTCTTACTTTTTCTTACATTTTCTGGGAATCTAGTCTGGTGATAAAATCCAATCATATGAAACAAAGGTCAGAGTTTTAATAATTTATAATTTGTGGATATAATCTGTAGATAAGAAAGGAATTATGAACCATAATTATTCTTAGGCACAAATGCTTTTGTGCCCAAGAAAATGGTGGGATTTTTGCACTAATCTTTATCTGGAAATATCCTGCCCAAATCTCCTGAATTTAGAGAAAGAAGAGTTGTAGTCTAGGTTACATTTACAAAATAGTTAACTTTGAAAATCAAAGAGAGCAGTAGTTTTGAGTTATTTTCTTAAAGAGTGAGCCATGGGTTTATTATAAACATCTCCAACCACACTTTTCTTCACAAGATTCACATTAATATTCCTACTGTGAATTTCTTACGTCTTTGGTTCCTGAAAAATGATAATCCAAAAGCTATTGCAAGATAATATGATTCTGTTTTCTTCCATGAGCACCTGCTTTAATAGTCAAAAATAAATAGCAGGATTTAGTTACTCTGCATTCTTATTAACAAACTTACATGATTTCCTGTTGGAAACTTTCAGGGGCTGAACTAGTATTTCTGTTCGTCTCAGAGCCAATCTCCTGGAGGAATAAAAGGTCAATATGCCTATCAATTTTCAGCGTATGTCTGAGGTTAATGCAGCAGCAAAATATTAAAAATCTTAAAAAAAAAAAAAGAAGAAAACCCAACCTTGCAAGTTAGGTAGGGAAAAACACAATGCAATTTTCTCCAGTTATAAAACAAACCTTCTACTTTAAATTTTTCTATTTGCACTGCTCCTGAAACAACTGTTTTTCTCTACCTTTCACCACAACACTATCAGATATTAATGGACTGTTTTCCATTTGCTTTGTAACAAAAACTTAAGATGACCTGGTACTGTCATATTATTTTTGGTCATTATTCATACTTACTTAGACAAAACAGAAATCCAAACCCAAGGGATAATGAATTCTAAGGCAGGGTTTTAGAGCTTATTTTATCGCAACTATGATGGAATGAAATTTTTCAGAGAACAAAAGGTCAGTTGAAGAAAGGCCACCATTCCATGCCAGGAGCTCACCTTTCCTGGAAATGCTTTGAGGGAATCAAGCCAGCTCTGGGGTTGGCATCACCTTCATGCCTTGCTTGCCACCACGTTGCATCATCTTGGCTCATAATCTGAAGAATATCTCCCTTTTTGAAAGAAAGCCCAGCTTCCTTACATGGAATTGCCTTATCCTCATTAGGATCGTAGTCAAAAAGGGCTTTGATAAACATCTGGAGGAAAGTTTCATTGAAGAAGAATAAATATAAAAAAAATAAATGTGAAATGGCCTACATTCTTGCAATGTATATTTAAGAAATAATGATCCAAACGACTAGAATACGAAAATAAACTTGTGGGGAAAAAGTGGATATGTATTAAAAGAAAAAAAAAACAACTTACTTCCCACATGCACAAATATTTTTAAGAAAAGATTACCTTGCCTTCTTTGGAGGGCGTCTCTTCTTTGATGCTGGGTATAATCTTAAATGTAATTGCTCCCTGAGACTGACCCTGATATTGGGTGAAAGAAAGAGTCATAAGAAAACTCTTGCCAAGGAAAAATAAGATAAAATAGGTAGAAAGCTAAATGCATCTAAAAATTTACAAGCTTGGGATTACTGCTCTTAGACCAAACTGAGGAAACTATTTTTGTAGAAATTCCGGTAATGTGAGAAAGCTCTAAAGTTTGTCAAGTAAGTTAAAAAACATTAACCACCAAATTCACTTTTATTTTCTGTGTACTTCTAAGGTATCCCTCCCTCAATATTATCATCCATGTCAAGCTACTTCAAAATAGAAATGCAAAATATAATGTGCAAAGTTCAGGCTATTACATTTACATACTGGCATCCATGTGTTTTGAGACAAAATACTTCTACTGTCAGTAGTACTATGATTATAAACACATGATTCATTTAGCAGCGATGACCACGAGAAAAAATAAGGAACATTCAAATATGTTGTGTTCTGGTTCGTAAGATACCAAATACAATAGATTCATTAAAAGATGAAGAGARAGAGTATCTATTCTAAGTTTAATCAAAACAGGCATCACCAATCTTTGTTGACTCAGACAAGGATAGGCCCCCGCTTTAAATACATTCTCATATTCTGTTTGCCTCTCTCTTTTTAGCATTGATCACAGTCATAAGTATTTATGCAATTATTTCTTAAGATCTGTTACTCCTGCTTAATTTAAAGCTCCACAAAAGCACTAAATAGCCTGGCATATGTTTAAAAGAGATAAAGAAGGAAGAAAAACAGGGAAGAAAGGAATAAGAAAACAAGACAGGCAGAGAGGAAAGAAGGCAAAGAGGGAGAAAAGAGAGGAGGAAGACATCCCCATGCAAGTATCAGTGATGCGCTGGTAAATCAAGACTCTGAAAGGATGTGGGGCTGATGATGCTGTCAGCCAGTTTCCATGGTATAAATGCTYCCACCTTAACCAATTTCAACTTACTGGCAGTTTCTGAAAGTTGGGTAGGAAAATGTCACAGAGTCAGCTCTATCAAGCTACAGTGGCCTCAGTTTCAGCCCAACACAGTAAGTAACACAATTTATAAAGGAGTGATTTATGTTACAATGGCATTACTGTTTTTACATTCACAAAAATAACAAATCTTACTAAGAATTCAGTCTAATACTGAATTACACAGGTAAAGAGAACGCAAGATCTTTATAATCCACTCAGACTTTTCCAATTTTTATGTGTATACTTAATTTATTTATTTATTTTGATACCAGGAATTGAACCCAGGGGCACTTAACCACGGAGCCATATTCTCAGCCATTTTCATTTTCTGAGACAGAGTCTCACTAAATTTCTTAGAGCCTCACTAAGTTGCTGAGGCTGGCCTCAAACTTGTGATCCTCCTGCCCCAGTCTCCCCATTGGCTGGGATTATAGGCATTTGCCACCACTCCCACCTTATGTGTATTTTCCAAAATGGAGGGAAATCCCTCAGAACAGTGTYATTTATTAAGAGATCAGTTACTGTTAGCAATTATTATTAGTACTATTATTTTTAAGTCACATAAGTCTATCAGCCATTGTGATTATTTCCCAGTAAATCATCATCTAAATGATTGCAATCTTCTTCGAAGTTTCCAATATTTAAAAAAAATTTTTTTTAAACCTTTGCCAAGTTATTTCTGTAGGATTAAGTTCTAACAGTTGAATCTTTAAATAAAGGATATGCACATTTAAAATTTTGGTGGTTTTAAAGGGCCATCTCAAAAACCCTATTAATTTACCCCATCCCCAGAAGCACATAAACAGCTATTTCCCCATACTCTGGCCAACTCTGTGCATTAGCAAGTTTTTAAGTCCAATGAAATCCAGTGTTTTTCAATTTTTTTAAAATTGTACATATAAATATCCCTGATTTTTATAATATTTTCTTAATGATTTTTATGGTTTTAATACATGTTAAAATGTGATCTTTTTATAATATATATTGTAAATATTTCCTTATAATCTCACTTGCCTCGTAAGTTTATAATATGGTGTCTTTTTTCTGTACAGAAAATTTTGAGTTCAGTAGAAACAGCTGTTATTTTCAATTTGAATCAAGGTTAAAAAGTCTTCCTGTACCTTACAATTATAAAAATTACACGTATTTTATTGTGTAATATCTGTGATGCTTGGCACTTAAATACTCAACGTATTGGAAATGTATTTTTCTGTGTAGTGTAAAGTAGAGACTGTCCTTTTTTTTCTGATTTATAAATGCTTTCATTTTCTGCCCCCCAACCCTCCATGATGAAGGTGATGCTAAGGCTCAGCTCCATATCCTGGGGTGTGATTAAACTCAATGTGCAAGCACGTGGATGAGAGAGGGAACTGATGGATGAGGCACATGTCTCTAGAATTTTCCTGGTTGAAACAACAATCTCCCTTTGAGGTCTTGTCATGTACTCTGTCATTATTTCTATGTGCTCCTATAAAATCCCCTCCTTTTAAAATTTAAATTCATTTTCTCAACTGATATATAAAAATATAAAGGTTGTACATATTTATGAGGTACCATGTGATATTTCAATACATATATGTATTGTGTAATGTTCAAATCAAGTTAAGTATATCTCCTTAATATTTATCATTTCTTTTATGGAGTTTCCTCAAACTTAAGAATTAACAGTGTGCAGGCCTAAAACAATTGCCTTCAAGTTTTGGATTTCAAAAGACTTCTAAATCAGTTTCAGGACTTGTGACTTGCATACTAGAATTCACAGCCCGAAAGATGGCTGTCTCAAGAGGAGGACAATGACGGATTCATCCCCTCTAGCAGTATAGATATCACTCACTGACTGATTATACCTACTTTGGGAGAGTCCATGTCCTTTCCCTAAACTCTTTATATACATTACCTCATTTAACCTTTAACACATGTGATATACTTAACTCTTCTCATTCTGCAAATGAAAACACCGAGGTACAAATAAATTAAGGTATTTTTCAAAGATACACAGGGACTTGGTCTACTAAATCCAAATCCTGTACATTTCAAACCAGGTCTGAAAAACCTGAAATTTAGTGAGTTGATTTTATTTTCATTGTTATTTTAAAATAAATTTAYAGCTTACCAGAATCTGTATTATCTCCTCAGGCCGTTTATCCTCCACTGGTATTCCATTCACTTCTCTAAGTTCATCACCAACATGAATAAGACCTGACAAGTACAAAATAGGCAATGTAACCCACAAAAGAAACTATAATTTTCAATTGTTTCCATAATTAAATCATCATTAGCTCCTTTAGCACATTTAAAGATTGAGAACGAGACACTTCTCAGGTTTCGGATTCCGTGCCTCTCTATTGCAATGAGTCAAAGAATATAGCATAATAATGCTGGCAAAAATGATAACAGTATCTTGGGTCTTTGTCTAGAAACAAACATTATTGTTTAATAATGTTTCTTTATTTAAAAAGAATAATATTTCTTTATTTAAAAAGCTGCATGCTCTTAATGGTATTTTGCAAATCAGAAATACTGCAACAGGTCTTAAAATAACTTTGAAAGCCTGTGCACACTAAGACCACAGAGTTAAATTCATCATTTATTTATGGAGGTTCCCATATTATGTTAAAAGAGTGTCATCTTTTAAGTTATATACTGGGAATGTCATGAAACACAATGTGATCTGTCTATATTCAGTGAACATTTAGACTCTCACCACTCCTATCTGCAGCTCCTCCTCTCATGATTCTAGCCACAACAATCGCCCCGGTCTGCTCATCCTTCTTAATGGTAGCTCCCTTCAAAAAAAACAAAAACAAAAACAAAAATTGTGCATGAATGTAAACTGGTTGGTAGGAAGGGAGAGACAGAAATAAGGACATTCATCTGGAAAAAGTGAAAACTACTACAAAAAAAAAAAAAAATTAAAGGAATGAGGCAAGAAGCAGAGACATCTTGCCATCTGTCCCACAAACACTCCTTACAAGGTAAAGAAATTCTATCTACATAGCACCTAAGCATTTCAGCACAATTTTAAGTTTTTTTAAAAAATTTTAATCTCCTTAAACTATAGAAATAAAAAAAACATTTTTTATTAAATACCTTGCATTTGAATATTATTTTTACTTTTTAAAAGCACTTTCTCATTTCATTTTATACTTATAATAATCCTTGATGAAGGTGGAATACTGATAATTATGTCCAACAGGCAAAAGGACATGTAATGAATTAAACGGTCATTTGAGTGTATACTCAGTGGGAGAGCATTTGCTGAGCTTAGGGGCATGACCTCGGTGTGGATCCCCAGCACTGAAAGGGAGGGGAGGAAGGCCCAGGTTATCAGACTTTGAGTTTAATGATCCCTCTGTTACACGAAGCTGCAATAGTAAAGAAGCTTCATGATAATATTCAAGAAATAGAAAACCAAACCAAACCAAAACAACAACGCTGGTAATCAGTTACTGCTATTGCTAACGTAAATGAATGGATATCTTCTCTTCCCCTTTCTGTTTCCAGGAATTGGCAAAAAGGGCGCTTCACCACTGAACCCCATCCCTAGCCCTTTTAATTTTTTATTTAGTGACAGGATCTCACTAAGTTACTTAGGGCCTTGCTAAGTTGCTGAGGCTGGCTTTGAACTTGTGATCCTCCTGCCTCAGCCTCCTGAGTCTGAGGTTAGAGGCGTGCACCACCACACTGGGTGACAGATCTGTTTTAATGAACTCAGATTGTACCTAATATAAATAAAAAAACATTCTGCTATAATGTTAAGAAAAATCTCAAAAAGAGACAAATTAACAGAATGCTGCTTTGTAAGAATATCAGATGCAAATGGTTACTTTGAAAGCTTTTGCATCAGCTTCCTTCCAAGAAACTGGCATTGGTTTAGAAAAGCCATCTAGGCTGTATCAGTGAAAAGGTAGACTTGAAGTGGTGGCAGAATTCTTCCTGAGGAAGTGGAACTTTTCTCAAGTTTGTTGAAAAAGCACATGCATTTCACTGAAAAACAGATATGTATACAATACTAATCCATTTATAATAAGTATACTTTATATATACAACAACTATCAGATATAAACATACCTAACAATAAAAATCAAAACTTAAGTGAGAGGATGTGCCTTTTTTTTTTTTTTAACCATCTATGCATGCAGACAAGGCCAAGTACTTGAATCGGCATCTCTCCATTGTCATAAAATTAGACCCATCAATTACTTGTAGTTTCTGCTTTTATTTAAATAGCTAACTCTTGGCCATAATGACTGGTGATACAACTAATTACTTTAATTACATTAACTTTCATTCCTTAAGAATGTGTCTTAAGATTCCCACCATAGTAGGCTAAATTGCAGAAGAGCCTAGTAATCTAACTTTAAATTTTATTGATGAAAAATCAAATTCCAAATGGTCATAATTTATCTAACATAAAATAACAAATATGAAGTGAACAGGAATCTTCGGCAATCTGACCAGATAGTATTATCATTCATTTGTTGCTTATCCTAAATCTTTTCATAAACTTTGCTGACAGTTCATTTTGTCCTCAAGTTCATGAGTTCACAAGCCTTATGGTGGCTTGTATTTAAGGTGGACATGATCAATTCCTTCCCCTCTTGTGTGTGCATGTGACATTCCCATCTCAAATGTGGAACATGGTTTTGAGGTTTCTAAGGAAATGATAAGTTTTGTAGCTGCCATCTGGGCYTGAAATACTTGCTCAATGGTAATTCAGCTGTCTTTTAAGAAATCATAACTACCACCAGGCAGTGAGGAAGCCAAAGCTGGTCAAATAGAGATGCCCCTTAGAGAAAAAGATACTGGACCAATCCCCAATTTTTTTGGCTTCCAGCCCAGGCATCAATCATGTGAATGAAGAAGCCCTCAGATGACTTCAACTTCAGCCACCATCAGACAGTACATATAAGGGACTTCAACTGAGAACCTCCCAGCTAAGCCTACCAACCCCGAAAACTGTGAGAAATAATATGTTATTAGCCACACATTTGGGGATGTTTTGTAAAAAACAACTAGATAACCAAAACAACTCTCTCTTCATGTTATGAAGTGTGCTGTTTTTCAGTATAGAGCCATCACAATTTTTTTTTTGTGTTTAATGCTGGTCCCTCTGATTTAGTCAATGAAGTCAACAAATGTCAACTGAGAACTATGTGCCAGTGTTCCAAGGACTTGCAATATGTTGGTGAACAAAACAAAAGGGACACAGAGAAAATACAAGTGATGAAATACTTGGTATATTATATATTATATTAGAAGATAGTAAGCACTATAGAAGCGGGAGGAGAAAGAGCTGAGTAAGAAAGATCCGGATGCCAGGGCAGGTAGAGAGGAATCTATAAGGACACTGCCTCATTGAAGTGAGTAAAAAAAGACTAGGAAGAGGGGAGGGTGTTAGCCAAAGGAGAGAGAAAAAAATGGCTGGTTCAAAGGTGCCAAGGGGAACCTATGAATGGAATGTATAAGGAACAATAAGGAGTATGGTTGAAGAAAAAGGGGAGAAGCAGGAACGGCAGTGTCAAATGGAAGCAGAGAACTAGATTATTCAGTGCTTTGTAGACTATTGTGTGAGGACACCTATTTCTGATTCATATTACTAGAATTACTTCTCCTGAAGATGCCTTTGACTCTTACTACTAGGGAATTTTATTGTTTTTGTGAACTTTGCAGTCTTGTGTCTCTTCTAACAACCATCTCTCCCTAAACTGACAGATATCATTTGACAATTAATATTGAAAATAAATACTTTCAAATTTTTTGGTTAGTACATTTTTAAAAATTTAAAATTTTAACTGGGCACTGTGACACATGCTTGTGATCCCAGACTGAAGCAGGAGGACCAGAAGTTTGAAGCCAGCCTCAGCAACTTAGGGAGACCCTTGACTCAAAATAACAAATAAAATGGGCTGAGGGTGTGGCTCAGTGGTAAAATGCCCCTGAGTTCAACCCCCTGCATAAAAAAGAAAAAAAGGAAGGAAGGAAGGAAGGAAGGAAGGAAGGAAGGAAGGAAAAACAAAATGTTGTTCACCCAGTAGTCTTACTTTATTTTTACAATAATTGTCAAACTAAAGTTGATATGCTAGTTATAAATTTGACAAGACAAAATTCAAGACAAGTAATTCTCCTCACTTGATTTCATATTCTCATTTGAAAATGACATTTAAAAATCTTAATACTTTTTTTTAAAGGAAAAAATCAACAAATACTTTTTAAATTTCTTCATTCAAGTTGAAGGGATGTTTTTCTATATGGTAGTATTAGAAGTTAATTTTTTTTTGTTTCTAAATAGTTACTTAGCCTGAAAAATGCAATCAAATTGAGGCTGAGTTGGAAGATAGCATCACCAACTTTTTAAAGTAAAGAAATATAAAAGTACACTGCACAATGTAGGCCAAACTCACCAGTGGTTCTCTATTCTTCACCAGCCGAATTATTTTTACAGAGTCTTCCTCATCGTCAATATCATCAGGCATAGGAGGCAGTACAGGATCATAATTCTTTTGAGCTACAGTATCATGTACAGAGAGCAAAGCCTGTAAAATTCAAAAGTTGGTAAAAACCATTAATCAAACACAAAATGGCAAACACTTCACACTGTAAAGAAGATAGAAATAGTGATATGATTTTGGCATGATGGTAGCAAAGCAACTTCTTGAAAGGGGTCTTTTATAAACAGGATGGTAAGCAGAACCTGCAGAGCTGCAGCTGGCAGCGCTACCTAGCTGCACCTCTATCTCCAAGGTCATTAATGCAGGACAAGAATGAGCACGCACCTTCCTCTAGCTCAGCTATAGCTGGTTTATCCTTACAAAGAAGGCAACTTGGAAGCAAAGGTGGAGTGGGTGTGTGAAGGGAGAAAATGAGGCTATAGGTACATAGTCAGTGAGCCAAAAGGAATCTGAGAAAACTACATATTTTTTCTTCTTAATATTTGTCCTCCTGTTGGCAGAAAACAAAGAACTATCAATGTGATTCTTTTTTTTCTCATGTTTTGTGTAACAAGTGTGTATAGAAGAATAAAAAGTATCTTTAGTTATGATAAGTATGGGGACAAAACTCCACAGTGCACGGATATATTGTCTTTATAGACCAAAGACTGGGGGGGCGAGCACTGAAACCTTGCATGTCACTACTATTTTAGATGAGTGCGTTTTAGACTTTCAATTAACTTGTCTCTTAATATAATCAACAGCATAACTGACCATAATTTATTCAAGCTGGAAGTCTGCCAATCATCCTTGAAATCTCCCCTCTCACTTATACTCGCAACATCCCATCTTATACCCTATTAAATCCACTCCTCAAATATATCTCAACTTTATTTTCTTCTTTGTATATCGGAGATTCGTACAACACTTTTTATTTTTGTGAATAAAGTTTTATTAGAACATAGTCATGCTTATTCATTTACATATTTATGGTTGCTTTCATGGTATAATGGCAAAATTCAGTAGTTGGAAAAGATAATTTCTTACCTAAAACATTGGTGACCCCCAGTCTAGATTGACGCTATCATTTTGGGCTTGGAATACTGCAATAGCCTCTAAATGGTTCAGCAGCATTGAACTTTGGTACATTTTCATATCCATACTTCAAACAGTAGCAAGACTGATTATTTTGAAATATATCCCTTCTAAGCCCACAGTTCTTGGAAGATCAAACTCTTTGACATCTTCTAACAGTCTTGTGTATCTCTCCAACCTTATCTTACAACATTTTTTTTTCACTCAAGTAATTTTTTCTCATAGAGGCATGGCCCAGATATTCAGTGTAAATATTAAATGGCAGTTCCCTCCATTTCTTCACTTCAGCACCTTATTCTTTGCCTTCATAAATGTTCACAACTTTTAATCACATAGGTATTTTATGGCTATATGTTTAATATTGGCTATCTACTGACCCAAGCCCTAAGTTAGTAAAAATGGTCTTTTTTAATTAGACGCTTTTAGTGACTCTTTACATATGCAGTCATCCTTCAGTATACACAGGAGATTGATGTCAAGACTCCCCTCAGATACCAAAATCCTCAGATGCTCAAGTCCCTTACATAAAATAGTGYGGTATTTGCATATAACCTATGCCTAACCTCCCATACACTTTAGGTCAGCTCTAGATTACTTGTAGTACCTGATAACAGTGAAAATCCATGTAAATGGTTGTTTTATACTGTATTGTTTAAGGGAAAAATGACAAGAAAAACCAAGGTCTATATATGTATACTACAGATGCAATGTTTTCTTTCAAATATTTTCGATTTGTGGTTGGTTGAATCTGAGATGTAGAACCCATAGATATGGAGTACCAACATAATACAGAAAGTAAAGCTTGTAAATGCACAGGATGATGAATTTAAAAAATGAATATGTCCCAAAAGAAACATGAAGTGAACCCTAGAAGCTCCCATTTAAATGTTTTACTATTCATCATGCCTCTCTATCCCCCAAAGGATGACTCTTTTTGAAAATTAGGATTATAAGAGTGGATTCATTTTTTCACTAATGTAAAGTAAGATTCATCCAAGCTGTTACTGATGGTAGTTTTCATTTTTCATAAGTGGCAGTTTTCATTTTTCATAAAAATAGTATCCCAAATACTTATTTCAGAGTTCTTTAGCCATTACATTTTTTGAGGGACATATAGTTTGTTTCAGTTCTTGACTATTACAAATAATATTCCTGTAAATAGTTAATGTCTTTTGATGCATAGATATATAATTTTGACTACGTATATTTAAGAAGGGAAATGCCTAGGCCACTGGTTAAAAGTATAGCCAACATCAGTAGACACGGTTTTTTCAATTATACTCCCACTAACAACACAGATGAATCTACTTTCTTCCCCAACATTTTACATTATTTTCATCCCTCAACACTCTACATTATTTAAATTTGGGTCATTCTGAGTGTGTACCATCTCCTATGATTGAAATTTTCTAATCACTCATGAGACAAAAGGCAAAATTCTTCTACATTGATTAAGCATGTATATATATATTCTTGTGTGAGATGCCCCTTCAAGGCCCTTTTCCATTTTTACATTGCACCTATCTTTTTCTTATTGATTTGCAAGAGTTCTTTACAATATGCTGGATTAGAATCCTTGTCAATTACACATGCTATAAACATAGTTTCTCATTTGGTAGCTTGTTTTCACTTTCTCAATGGCATTTTTCAATCAATAAAGAATCCTAATTTTAATGAGCTCAATTAATGCTTTTGTGTTCAATAAGAGTTTGCTTCAATGGGAAMAAATGAAAAGCATCAGATGATGAAAGTTTTAGAAATAATGGCTACAAATTTCCGAGAACTAATGCGACATCCTGAGATTCAGAAAACCAAGGATTTTTCTAGGTAGCAGGAAAAATAAAAAGAAATCCATGCACAGAAATATTATAATGAAACAGCTGAATACCAATGACCAAAAAAAAAAAAAAAAAAGGAAAAAGTATTAAGGAAAGAAAGTTTGACTAGCAGAAACAATGGAAACTAGAGAACAGTTGAAATACTTTGAAAATGCTTTGAAAAAACAAAATCCAGCCCCACATTTTATATCCAGCAAAAGTATCTTTCAAGAACGATAATGAGGGCCGAGATTACAAGTACCCACCTAGAAAACGCCTTTTAAACAAAAGGAAAATGAGACAATTGTTTTCTTAAAAAATACACACACACACACACACACACACACACACACACACACACAGGACATTAAACATTGAAGGGCAGTGACCACTGAGAAACAGAAAAATATCAGAGAAGAAAGAACCCATGAAGAATTCTGCCAGTGGTCTCCCTGAGTTGGGAAAACAGAGGTAGAAATGAAATGAATCCAAGGAAGTCAAGGAGCTAAAGTTCTCAGGGAAGACTATGACACAGAATTCCTGAGATAAAGGACAGCCAGGCCTTAATCCATAACATGCATATGCAAAAACTACCAGATGGCTTGATTAATATTCATATATATACATAAGATTCTCAACAACTATGCAGTAAAAAAAATAATTGACTTAAAGATGGGCAAATGATATGACTAGACATTTCTCAAAAGAAGACATGCAAATGGTTGACAGAAATAGAAAAAATGCTCAATTTCACTAATCAACAGTCAAAAAAATCAAAACCACAATGAACTATTATTACTTCATATATGTATGCTCTGTTTATTTTAGCAATATTAACAACAATCAAGGTATAGAATCAATCTACGTATCCACCATTGAATAAGTGGTATCTACACGAAATGTTATTCAACTATAAAAATTAATGAAATTTTGTCATTTGGAGCAACAGGTGAGGAGGACATTAGTGTTAAATAAGCAAGGCACAGAAAGACCAATATTTCATGTTTTGAATAATATATGGAAACTAAAAAAGCTAACTTCATAGAAGCAGTGGGCAGGACAGTGATTACTAAAAGCTGGGAAGAGAAGGGTTGGTTAATGGATACAAAAATATAGTTAGGAGGATTAAGTTTTAATGTTCTATAGTGCAGCAGGGTGAATGCAATCGACAATAATRTGCTATATATTTCAAAATAACAAAGAGAATTTTGAATATTACCAACACAAAGAAATAATAATGTTTAAGGTGATGGACATGCTAATTATCCATTTGATCACTATATCTCACTGTAGCCCATAAATATGTAAAATTGTGTGTTAATTTAATAAATACTACCAGAAAGAATTAGATACATGATTCTTAAGGGAAAGTGATTTTACTTTTAAATGTTCTCCAGGGAACATTTGGCAAGTTTGGAGGCATTTTTTATTGTCAGTTTGGGGGATGCTACTGCCATCTAGTGCACTGAGGCAGGGGATGCTCCTAAATATCAGCACAAAGAACAATCCTCTAACCCCCAAAACAATTATCCAGCCAAAAATGTCAACAGTGCCAAGGTTGAAAAACTCTTCTGCTATGGTTTGGATATGTGGTTTGTACCCCAAAGGCTCATGTGCTAGAGGACTACCTCCCAAAGCTATTAAGTGGTGGCAGAACCTTTAAGAGTTAATGCCTACTGGGAGGGAATTAGGTCAAAGGGGGTATTGTTATGGTAACAGATTACTCTCTATTCAAAAGAGAAGTTAGCTCTTGAGAGACTGGATTGTTAAAAATCAAGACCACCCTGGGCACCTGGCCTCTTCTACACAKGACATGTTCCCTTCTTGCTTATCTACTTGTTATAATGCAGCCCAAGGAGTTCCTTACTAGAAGCCCAAACAATGGAACTGCCCAATCTTGGATTTTTACCTTCCAAAACTTAAGCTAACTAACCCTATTTTTTTTTAATAAGTATGCAGCTTTAAGTATTTTATTATAGCAACAGTAAACAGAGTAATACATTCTGAACTACAAGGAATGATCCCTGAAGCAGGAGTTCTTCTCACCTGAGAGAGGGAAAAACACAACACATTGAGAAGAGTTGTCACACAGAYTTAAACAGTTAAAAATAGGCCCAAGATTAAGTGTTGCTATGGTGTCATCTAGCAAAGCTTAAACACAAGCCTCTGAAGGATCAAATGTTTCCAAATAAC